CACTTTCCTCCTATCATCTACTGTAGAAATCAGTGTCCTAACACAAATCACTCTGTTCCTCAGCACTTTCCTCCTATCATCTACTGTAGAAATCAGTGTCCTAACACAAATCACTCTGTTCCTCAGCACTTTCCTCCTATCATCTACTGTAGAAATCAGTGTCCTAACACAAATCACTCTGTTCCTCAGCACTTTCCTCCTATCAGGTTGCTTTGAATTCTCTTTCAATGCAATTAAACCACTACGACTTCATTACAGCACTGTTTCACTATACTGTCTTACTGTAGACGTTGCTGTATATGTTTTTTCTGTTAATATTATTTTTTCTAGTTTGATGTAAGTAATCATTATGTTAACTATTTGTCAAGGTGTAACAGTCACTTTTGTTTCCTTCCTGTTTTCTGAGTGATTCTATGATGGTGAGATTTCTGCTACTACTAACTGTCACCTGCACCTGTCTAGTATTATATGACAGTAAGTTATCAGCTATCACCATCACACCTGTCTCTAGTAATATATTACAGTAAGCTATTAGCTATCACTGTCACACCTGTCTCTAGTATTATATGACAGTAAGTTATCAGCTATCACTGTCACACCTGTCTCTAGTAAATTATGACAGCAAGTTATCAGCTATCACTGTCACACCTGTCTTGAGTATTATATGACAGTAAGTTATCAGCTATCACTGTCACACCTGTCTAGTGTTATATGTTAGTAAGTTATCAGCTATCACTGTCACTCCTGTCTCTAGTATTATATGTTAGTAAGTTATCAGCTATCACTGTCACACCTGTCTCTAGTATTATATAACAGCAAGTTATCAGATTTCACCGTCACACCTGTCTCTAGTATTATATGTTAGTAAGTTATCAGCTATCACTGTCACACCTGTCTATAGTACTATATGACAGTAAGCTATCAGCTATCACTTTTGGATAGCAGCTATCAGCATTGGATAGCAGTTTGATGGTATGCACATATCAGCCCTGACTGACCCCAAGGGGCTGATGGGTGGGGCCAAAAAGGGTTGAATTGACTGAAAATTTCAAATTCTTCTTCTCAAGACCTAGATAAGATAGAATCAAATACTCTTCATAGATGGAAGGGTCTTAAGCTTTACCAAAATAGTGAATTTCATGACCCTGGGGTCTCACGTTTCGCCCTGGGGAGGGGGAAATTTAACTATAGTTTAATTGTGAATTATATGGTCCCCAGCCCCCAGGGGCCTGAGGGGCAGGGCCAAAAAGGGTCAAATTGACTAAAATTTCAAAAATCTTCTTCTCAAGATCCAGATATGGTAGAATCAAATACTCTTCATAGATGGAAGGGTTTTAAGGTGCTTTACCATAATTCAGCTGACTGACAGCACCACTATTTGTACATAGTACATATACTACCCAGATCTTTCACACTACTTTTGCATTACATGTAGTTCAAGTTACCTTTGTTACAAAATGATTTCTTTTTCATCTGAATGACAATGCGGATTGTAAACATAGTTGGTCTAAAAATGTACTGATAGAGGATTGTAGGGTGTACAGCTGTATTACTTACAAATGATTAAGATACCAACCAATGACCACATATACTCACATAGTGGACAGGAGGATATGAATACATCCTTGCTAACAGGATTAGCTCTGGTGTCTCACCCTACCCCTGGGCCTCTAGTCCCTGAGTCATACCATGGAAAAAGTTGAGATCCCCACCCTATAACCACATAAACAATGCCACTAGCATTGGCCTAGAGTATGTCCCCATCCTAATATGGAATTAGTCTGTTGGTCATCTATATGAAATATAGGCAATACATCTAGTTGCTTGGTATGAAAAGAAATGCATCCATGCTACTCAGTAATGGTGCTGGAGTCCCACCCTGCCCCCACATACTTAACATTGAGTTTTACCATGGAAACACTTGAGATCTCACCCCCATAACAATATATATACTATTGCTTGACATGAAGAGACAAACCCAATCGTGCAACCAGGGTTGGCTCTTGGGACATACCGGTAAAAATGAAATTCCAGGTGAGCTATTACCAGTAAGGCCCAAGGGCATTTTGTTAGAACTTATCTGATATATTTTCTTATTATTCCAGAGTGACACAAGTTACTATTAAAGTTGTGTTTTTAAAGATCCTATGTAAAGGAACAGTTATATTATTTGACAGCTCTGTGTGGTTTGGTGTGTTTCAGGAATGGTAGACTGACGCCTGCATCATCTGTGTTCGTCACTCGGGAGGATTCACCGAAAAAATTAAACCACTGCATCAAGAACCCATTCAAACACTCTGTAAACTACACAACAGACGACTTGAACATTGTAAGTGGTTTGATGACATAACAAGAAGTTGGGGGGGGGGGATTTGAAGTTGGTTTTCTTCTTGTCCAGTACTTTATTAATTACATTCATCAAATCAAAATGGAAAGATAATATAATATAACTTATGGATAATTTAGAATTCACCTTATAAACCGTTTGATAAGTCTTAGCAATGAATGCTATTAGGCTAATGTTCCTCTGTGACTGTAACACTTGTATACCTTTCGTTCCAGGAGCGAGGAAAGACAGCCGAGCATTGTAAATCACCCTCAGGTGAGATGGCGCAGAGAACAGCCTTTGCCACCTTCCATATGGGCAAGGTCCTCGCAAAGAACAACACGGAAAGTCCACCAAACAAACAGGGAAAGCTGCTCAAGGGAAAGTAAGTGGCCCGCACTGTGTAATTGCTGCTCAAGGGAAAGTAAGTGGCCCGCACTGTGTAATTGTATTCAGTGGATCTTTATTAACTTTTATCATCAAAATCCAAGTCAATTTTCTTTCCCTGAAATTACTTAAAAAAACCAAAAACGAAACCCAGCTAAACCAGGGCTCTGACATTCCCAATGGGAAAGGGGTAAAGGAGGGGCATCACATACTATATGAACAGAGTTGAATGATTAAAAACACCCACTGTACTCAGCATTGACTAAAGGAATTTTGAACAATCCCCAGTGGGTCATACTTAAGCCATTGTAACAGTGATTTTACTACATCAGTAGAATTGATCACAATGTTCCGGTACACCAAGTAATGTTTTTAATTGGTCCACTGACTAATTAATTTATTTGAAGATTTATGATGATTTTATTTCTAGTCCTCCACGTCCACGTTCTGAGCCATCTCGCAGGTAACGTTTTCAGGAATGCTTCAAGCATGCTTAACATCACAGAAATAAAATGTACATATCACTTACAAAGCACTTGTCAAAAAAACATGTTTTCTCCCACCTCTGTGTATTGTGTACATGTATCCCAGATTGGGTGAACTCAATGACCTTTACTAGTATGACGACAAAATCGGATGAAAATGTTCCATTAAACATCACAATAAAAAGCCTACCAAAATATTTCTTTGACAGACTATGATGATCTTGCTATAGGCATCTAACATCAATTCATGACCATAAAAATTGCACAAGCTTGCTTTTAATGAAGGTTTTGCATTTTGTTCTTCAAACATTGAGATGTACAATTATCTAGAAATGTTGCTATAAATAGTGCTACTTTTGCGTTGTTATTGTCATGCTTAACCGAAGTTTTAGGTACGAATCGGGAGAAAAAGGGCCTATCATTATACAGGTATGGAGGGTACATGGAAATTGTATCCCTGGGTAGGATTTCCTTATCCCTATAGGTACATACGATGGAGTCCATAGTGTCACACGTCCTACTGTTGTGTCTAACACCCTGCCCCTCTGTCCTGTGTATACCCACGGCCCCGTACACAGATCTAAAACCTACTAGTTCCACCTGTGATTGCATGCAGCATGGCCTCATGTCTGAAATTTGATTTAAATCTAAGTAGTTATAATCTGTTCAAATTTATAATCCTTCACTTTTAATAACAAAGGAAAATTAAAGTTCGAAGAAGTTAGCAGATCTGCACCAGTTTATTAAGTCCAAAGTCTATTTACCTTACTACGGTATATATGATTGTCGAGGCGCGCCATCATAATGCCATAGATATAGCCCATAATACCATATCAAAACATTCACTAAATCCAAACCCTTGTTCTGTCTCCTAATTATTGTTGACATATAAACAGATTATAGACGATGAAATTGAAATAAAATTTGATATATGGAACTGTAAACGTAATTTTATTGTGGATGAAGGGATGGCATAAGATAGGAAATTTTGGCACCAAAGGTCAAATAGATAGAGGATATTCAATGGTTCCTGTTGAATACTATTGGCTTGGTCAATTCTGATGTCACAATTACTCTTATTTATATGTTGTAATACAACTTTACCTGTTTCGATATTATTAGCGGGATGTGTGCTATCTCAGGAAAGTCCATGTCTTTGTAAAGTCATAAACCGAATATTCTTGGTGTTGTAATGAATATTTTGATACATTTTATTTATAATTTGATATATTTGTGTGTATGCCTTTTCCTTTTTTGAGGACAAAAATATTATAACATATAAAATGGGAATTTGTAGCATAAATTTGATGCCATTATTGTCTTGTTACACTACACTAGGTCCCTCCAGGAAATAGTGCCACTCTTTTGACTTTTTATCCAATGTTAGTGTTCCATCTCATTTTAATGTGTTGTTACTGTCTCTTCTTGTTAATGTTCATGCCTTGTTTATGTAACTATGTTCCCTCTCAATGTTACCTCTTGTTAGCTCACCTGGTCCAAAGGACCAAGGTGAGCTTATGCCATACCGTGGCATCTGTCATCCGTCGTCAACAATTTCTTTAAACGACTTCTTCTTCTTAACCACTGATTGGAATTTAACTAAATTTGACTGGAAGCATCCGTAGGTGGGGGGGATTAAAAATTGTACAAATGGTTGGGCTGCCCCCCCAGGGGGCTGAGGGGCGGGGCAAAAAGGGGGCAATTTGGCTAAACTGCTTTACGCGACTTCTTCTCTGGAACTGAGTGATGGCTATCAACCATATTAGACTGGAAGCATCCCTAGGTGGTGGGGATTCAAAATTGTACAAATGGTTGGGCTGACCCCCCAGGGGGCTGAGGGGCGAGGGGGCCAAAAAGGGGTAATTTGGCTATATTTCTACAAACGACTTCTTCTGTAGAACTATGCACTGGATATCGATCATATTTAATCAAAAGCATATATCTGATGCAGGGATTCAAAATTGTACAAATGGTGGGGCTGACCTCCCAGGGGGCTGAGGGGCAGGACCAAAAAGGGTTATTTGGCTATATTGCTTTAAGCGACTTCTTCTCTGGAACTAAGTGATGGATATCAACCATATTAGACTGGAAGCATCCCTAGGTGGTGGGGATTCAAAATTGTACAAATGGTGGGGCTGACCCCCAGAGGGCTGAGGGTGGGGCCAAAAGGGGGCAATTTGGCTAGATTGCTATAAACAACTTCTTTTGTAGAACTATGCACTGGATATCGATCATATTTGGTCGGGAGCATTCATAGGAGGCAGGGATTCAAAATTGTACAAATGGTGGGGCTGACCCCCCAGGCTAAGGGGTGGGGCCAAAAAAAGTTTATTGCCTGGAAATGGTTGAGATCCCCACCATATAACCACATATACAATTGCTGAGTATAAAGAGAAGAATGCACATTTGCTTCCGGGATGGCCCTAGGGTCTGGCCCCACCCTTGGAAACATAGTCCTTGGGCCATAACTTAAAAACGGTTGAGATCCCCACCCCAAAACTATATATACAAATGCTGGGCAAAAAGAGACAAATGCAGTCATGATATTAGAATTGATCCTGGGGTCTGGCCACAACCATAGGGACCTAGTTTCTGAGTCACAGATTGGAAACAGTTGAGATCCCCCAACCCATAACCATACATAAAATTGCTGGGCATGAAAAATCGAATACAGATATATATGCTACAAGGATTGACCTTGGGGTCTGGCATATTCCCATGGATCTCATTTGGAGAATATTCTGCCATGATTGCTTAGATAACCAGGTGAGCGATACAGGCCCTATGGGCCTCTTGTTAAATATTTACTATGTTGAAAGGGTTCCCTCTCTTGTTACTTTCCCTTACCTTATAAATGTTCCTTATATTGTTACTGTTCCCTCTCTTGTTACTTTCCCTTATCTTATAACTGTTCCTTATATTGTAACTGTTGCCTCTCTTGTTACTTTCCCTTATCTTATAACTGTTCCTTGTATTGTTACTGTTTCCTCTCTTGTTACTTTTCCTTACCTTATAACTGTTCCTTGTATTGTTACTGTTCCCTCTCTTGTTACTTTCCCTGACCTTATAAATGTTCCTTGTATTGTAACTGTTGCCTCTCTTGTTCCTTTCCCTTACCTTATAACTGTTCCTTATATTGTTACTGTTCACTCTCTTGTTACTTTCCCTTACCTTATAACTGTTCCTTGTATTGTTACTGTTTCCTCTCTTGTTACTTTTCCTTACCTTATAACTGTTCCTTGTATTGTTACTGTTCCCTCCCTTGTTACTTTCCCTTACCTTATAACTGTTCCTTATATTGTTACTGTTCCCTCTCTTGTTACTTTCCCTTACCTTATAAATGTTCCTTGTATTGTAACTGTTGCCTCTCTTGTTACTTTCCCTTACCTTATAACTGTTCCTTATATTGTTACTGTTCCCTATTTTTATCTGTTCCCATTAATGTTACTTTTCCCTACCTGATAACTGTTCCCTAAATTATATCTGTTCTCTTTATTATTCTTGTTCTCTGTCTTATCACTATTTCCTTGTTACTGTTTCCATTCTTGTGATTGTCTCCTCTATTGTTACTTTTCTTTATCTTGTTCCTTTTCTTTATCTTGATCCTTTTCTTTATCTTGTCACTTTTCTCTATCTTGTTAATGTTTCTCTCTATAACGTTCCTGGTTTCTTTGATAGATTGCAGCCTCTGAAGCCGGTGGCTATAGGCAGCGGTCCTACCATTAGACAGTGCCGTGGCATTGTGGCAGGTAAGTGGGTGACTTATTATTTACTGGTAGGCGCTATTTGGTATTCCTTTTTTTATAAACCAGGTTTATAAACGTTTCTGGGCATGTTATGGTGAAAAAAAAAAGTTTTTTGTTTACTGTTCAGACATGTTTGGTCTGTTACCACCAGAACATATTTTTTCACAGGAGAAACAGAGCTACCTTTGATTTTTGTTAGCTCACCTGGCACGAAGTGCAAAGTGAGCTTATGCCTTGGCGCGGCGTCCTGCATCAATATTTTACTTTAAACGACCTTTTAATAACCAAAAGGCCTAGGGTGATGATATTTGGCCAGAAGCAAACTGGGATGAAGGGCTACAAAGTTTGTTAAAATTAATGACCTTCACCCTTTTTTTAAGGTCACAGGAGTCAAATATGTTAAAAACTTTAAACATCTTCTTCTCCATAACCAAACTGCCCAGGGAGATGATATTTTGCCAGTAGCATGCTTGGGCGAAGGGCTACCATGTTTGTTCAAATGAATGACCTTCAATTATATTCAAGGTCACAGGGGTCAATTGTCTTAAAAAAACTTTAAACAACTACTTCTGAATAACCAAAATGCCTAGGTTGATGATATTTGGCCAATAGCATGCTGACATGAAGGGCTACAAAGTTTGTTCAAATGAATTACCTTCACCCATATTCAAGGTCACAGGGGTCAAATATGTTAAACACTTTAAACAACTTCTCAATAACCAAAATGTCCAGGGTGATGATATTTGGCCAATAGCATGCTGACATGAAGGGCTACAAAGTTTGTTCAAATGAATTACCTTCACCCATATTCAAGGTCACAGGGGTCAAATATGTTAAACACTTTAAACAACTTCTCAATAACCAAAATGTCCAGGGTGATGATATTTGGCCA